AAGAGTCACATGACTCTCGCCCAAAGAAGACACCCCGACCTGGGAAGGAGGAGGTCATCACCTTCTCAGACAGAGACCTTGAGGGTATCTAGGTCCCACATGATGACCCTCTAGTCTTGACCCTGATGGTGGCCAACTATCAGGTTAAGAGGGTCCTTGTCGACAGCGGCAACTTAGTCGACATTCTGTTCGCGACAGCCTTCACCTTGGTAGGGAGAAACTGCAGCCCGTCAGGATTCCCTTTGTTGGCTTCTCAGAAGAAATAGTTTATCCTTCGGGATCTATCACCTTGCCTATCACAGCAGGAATTACACCGAGGAGCTCCACAATCATAGTAAACTTTATTATACTTGACTGCCCTTTTACATACAATATAATCATTAGATGCCCTGCCCTCAATACCCCTAAGGGCAGTGTCGTCTAACTACTATTTTCTCATCTATTTTCCAACCACCAGGGGGATTGGAGAGATCAGAGGAGATCAGGTCTCTGCCTGAGAGTGCTACGTGGCCTCTATGAGGGTTAATAGACCACACGAGACTCTCTAAGTCGAAATACTTGACCCAAGGGATGACAATACCTTGAAGAGGGGGTGAACCAACAGAAGAGCTTCAACCAGTAATAGCAGATGACAACCTTCTAGAGAGAAGAGTCTATATAGGCTCCTCACTCTCCAAGGAGCAGGCCACTGCCTTGATTGACTTCCTCAGGTAGAACATGGATGTCTTCGCCTAGTCCCACAAAGACTTGGAGGGCATCGACCCTAAAGTGGCCTCCAACCGACTCAACATTGATCCCAAGTACAAGCCTGTCCGCCAGAAGTTAAGGAACGTAAGTGCCGAGAGAGGGGGCCATGGAGAATGAGGTTGACAAGCTACTAACGAATGGGTCAGTGAGAGAGGTAGTCTACCCAGACTGGCTATCCAATGTAGTGATGGTGACAAAGGCCAATGGAAAATGACACCTCTGCATGGACTTCATGAAGCTCAACAAAATCTATCCCAAAGATAGCTACCCTCTCCCACGCATCGACCTTCTTATCGACACCATTGACGGACATGAGCTTCTGAATTTTTTGGATGCCTACTTCTGGTACAACCAGAACAACATATTTCTTACAGATTAAGAGAAAACTTCATTCATCACCCCGAGGGGAACCTACTATTATAGGGTGATGCCTTTCGGGCTTAAGAATGTCAGAGCCACATATCAGCGCCTCGTCAATAAGATGTTCGAGGCTCAGATTGGAAAGACAATGGAGGTCTATGTAGACATCGTGCTGGTGAAGAGTATGGTTGCGGAAGACCATTTAATGCACCTACGGGAGACCTTCGATGTGTTAAGAGCCTACAGAATGAAGTTGAATCCTGAAAAAGTGCGCCTTTGACGTCAGTTCAGGAAAATTCTTATGCTTCATGGTCAACAAACGGGGTATTGAAGCCAACCCAGACAAGATCAGAGCTATCCTAGAGAGGAAATCTCCAGCCTCAACAAAGGAGGTCCAACGCTTTAATGGGAGGATAACAGCCCTCAACAGGTTTGTCTCTAAATCAGCAGATATATTGTCTGTCCTTCTTTAAAATCTTTTGCAGGTCTTTCTAGTGGGCCCCAGATGCCGAGGAGGTTTTCCAGAAACTCAAGGCCTATCTCGCCACGCCACTTTTACTTTCCCATGCAGTACTAGGAGAGACCTTGTACCTTTACCTCTCCTCTTCACCATCTACCGTGAGCTCTATTATCATTAGGGAGGATGGAACCATCCAAAAGCCTATGTACTATGTTAGTAGGGCATACCAAGGGACAGAGGTAAAATACTCAGAGCTTAAAAAATTGGCTCTGGCACTTGTCACTGCCACTAGGCGCCTTTGCCACTACTTTCAGAGCCACACCACTACAAGAGCCATAGGAGGAAATACCAGGCGCCCCTGCGCCTATCTGCTCAATACACACTAACTCCACCTACCAAAAGACCAGCCTGAACGCTACCCTGAAAGGACCCCACGACTCGGAGATGAACTCGGAGGAGGCTTCACATCAAGATGCCACCCCCAATGGCCAGGGCGCCGCCTTCTCTGTCTGCATCGACCCCCATTTTCCTCTCTCTCTAGACATCGCCCAATAGCCCGTTGCCTCCAACCTCTTCGATGTCAGCATCGCCCATAAAGCTGACTCCTTGTCCATCGCCTACTATACCAGGCTGGAGACTCTACGTGGATGGGTCCTCAATTAGCAACAACGGTCGCGCGGGACTAGTGCTGATCATCCCCCATGGCACTATGTCGAAGTACGTCGTCTCCCTCCAGTTTGCCACATCAAACAATCAAGCTGAATATGAGATCCTCATATCAAGCTTAAAACTGGCATTGGAGATGGAGGCCCTCTACCTGACAGCCTACAGTGCTTCTCAGTTCATAGTCAACCAGGTAAAGGGAGACTTTGAAGCAAAGGAAAAAATAATGCAAGATTACCTCATAGTGGTTCAAGCCCTACTAAAAAAGTTCACCAGCTTCCAAATCAACTATGCACCTTTAGAAGAGAACGTCATGGTAGACACCTTCGCCAAGTTCACGTCTGCCGACATACTCTTGGCCCCGGCACTGACAGTTCACCAATTCGAGCCTAGCACCTTCAAGACAGAGGAGGACGATATCCTCGGAGTCCAACTAGATGACTCTCATCCGAGCTTGCCTAGAGGAAAGCGATCTCCCAGACAATCTCGTGGAAGCCAGGAGATTGAGAATGAGAGCACTCAGGTATGTCATCCTATAAAACACCTTCTACAAGAAAAGTCATTTTCTCCCACTACTTCGTTGTCTCAACCCCAAAGAAGTCAATTACGCCATGAGGGAGATCCATGAGGAGATATGTGAAAATCTCACAAGAGGGCATGCACTGGCCCATAAAGTCGTCAAATAGGGATATTATTGGCCTATCATGATCCGAGACACCCGTGAGTTTGTCAAAAAATGCGACAAGTGTCAAAGCTTCGCGACTATGCCTAAACAGCCACCCGAAGAGCTCACCACCATTCAGAGCCCATGAACTTTCTCTATTTAATGATCCGAGACACCCGTGAGTTTGTCAAAAAATGCGACAAGTGCCAAAGCTTCGCGACTATGCCTAAACAGCCACCCGAAAAGCTCACCACCATTCAGAGCCCATGAACTTTCTCTATTTAGGGGATCAACATCCTAGGTCCCCTCCTTGTGAGTCAACGCCAGTACAAGTTCGTAGTCATAACCATCGATTACTTTACGAAGTGGGCAAAAGCTGAAGGCCTAGCCAGAATAACAAACCAGAAGATAAAGGACTTCATATGAAGGAGTATAGTCTGTCGTTTCGGAATACCTCATGTTATAGTAAGTGACAATGCCAAGCAGTTTGACAACAAGCTCCTCAACAGTTTTTGCGCCAACCTATAGATCAAGCAGCCTCACTCCAGCCCCGCCAATCCACAAGCAAAGGTTACCGCCGTTAGGACCATACTTCAAAATTTGAAAGCCATACTGAAGAATGCAAAAAGACGGTGGGTAAATGAACTCTCAAGAGTACTATGGGCTTACCGAACGACATCAAGGAGCCCTACGGCGCGAGACCTCTTTTTCCTAGCCTATGGGACAGAGGTAGTGATACCCGTTGAGATTGGGGTACACTTCCTTAGGGTCCAGCACCATGGCCCTACCCAGTAATGAAGAAGGCCTCAGCATCAACCTCGACATGATAGAGGAGGAGAGGGAGATATCTATGCTTTGGAATATAGAGTACAAGCGTCGCATGCCCAAATACTAGAACTTCAGGGTGAAGCCTCGCTCCTTCTTACCTGGAGACCTAATCCTCAAAAAGGTCATCCTGTCTACCAAAGACTCCCGGGAAGGAAAACTAGGACCCAACTAAAAAGGACCATACACGGTCACGGAGGTGGTAAGGCCAAGTACCTACAGAATCTAGAATTTTGAACGAAAAGTCCTAGCCCATCCATGGAACGTAGAACATCTAAAGATATATTACCAGTAGCTAGGGGCAAGACAGTGAGTCATAAGTTGATGGTCACTATTTAGATTATTTACCTTTTATTTTGGTCAACTTCTTTCAAGTACTTACTTTAAATTATGAAATAAAATTTTGCAATATTTTTTCAAAAAGTTTTATTTCATTCAAGTTTATAAAGCTTTTACGAAAAGATAGGATATAATCTATCAACGAAAAATACAAAAGCACCACGCTCCTAACAACACTCACTGCCTCCGCTCCCATCATTGCTCGCGTCCTCCTCATCCGTCTCTAGAGCCTCATAAGGTAAAAAGTCAAAAAAGTCATAAGCAGAGAATGCTGTCGAGACCTTCCTCCTGAGCTCATCGTAGCCATCAATAAAGGCGTCTGTCATGGCCCTCTCAGCAACGTTCTCCTCTTCTCCATCTCTATAGAGTGAGCCTTTACCCTAGTTGCTCTCTCAAGTGCTATTCGAAGGTCAGCCTCTAGTTGGGTAGCCCTCTCATGCGCTAACCTCAACTACTTTGCGCCATCCTCTTATGCTTGTCACTCAAGCCCCAACAGCTTTGCGGCATCCTCTCGTGTCTGTCACTCAAGCCCTAACTGCTCCGCTGCATCCTCTCGTGCCTGCAGCTCGAGCCCTAACTGTTCTTCAGTAGCCTCGCGTGCCCTCCTCTCCGCTGCCTGGCCATCGATTGCCTCCCTGATCTTTAGCATATTTGTAAACAAGCAGGGCAAAGTAGCAGCCACCAATAGGCATTCGAAGTGAAAATATAAAGGAAGAAAGTCAGGTACAAAGCCAAAGAAGAGTGCGAGACATACCAAAACAAAGCCCTCTACAGGAGTGTCAACAATGCCCTTTGGACCTCGGGAGGCAACCTCCGTCAGGTCACAAACCCCTAAAATCTTTCCTTGGCCAACCTCATGTCCCGTAACATAGATACTGAGGTGCTGCTTGAAGTAGGATAGCTAGGCAAACCCTCCGCCCTAATGGGGGACCGTGTCGGAGCCTAGGCCTCCACAGTAGTGCTAGGACCATCCTTGAGAGGCGAGGAGAGTTCAATTAGAGTAGAACGGGTAGCATCACTGAGCCCCGCCTCTCGGGGAACAGCCTGACCAGGGAGCCTCAGTTGAGAAGTACCAGGGGCACCAGACTTTGCCTTCTTAGAAGGAAGAGGAGAAGTGCCACTAGACTTGCCCGCAAGCTCCCTGGAATTGCCCAAATTGCCTGGACCTTTACCAACATCATCCAAGGCATCCAAGTCACTGTCACCGCTTGGAGCAAGGGACTCAACACCATAAGTGCCACCTGGCACACTTGGGGCACCACCTAGCTTGCGGTTGGCGCTGCCTGTCTCCGCTGGGGAACCACCTGGTAGCTGAGTCACACCCGTGACGTGCCTTTTGCCTTTGCCCGTCAAAGGTCCAGTACCGCCGAGAATAAAGCCCATGACGCCCTCGCCTGCCATAGCGTCGCCGCCTATAGGTCCCTTGATGGCATCGCCCATGATCTCCTTGCCAAAGCCTCTCCTCATTTCAGCCCTTGTGGTGTGACCCATGGCTCATTGGGCACCTCTTACAGTGGGACCAGCACCTTGGGCGCTGCCCCTAGTGCCTCCCTCCTCGGGCTCTTTGGTTGCCCTCTCCATCAAGATCCTGCCATCTCCAACCGAGCACCCAACATCATGCTCCACTCCTCCACTACCGCTAGCCGAGGCCTTATCTCCAACTCCTTAGGCACCACTACGCAACGAGGGTCTCCCGAGGTCTCTTTCCTCACGCCTATCACACCAAAAGTTCCAAAGGACCTCTTGCCCTCCTCTTTCTCCATTGAGGTTTGGTCGTCTCCAGTCGTGAGCCCGCCATCATGGGCGCCGCCCACTATGCCTCCACCATGGGCGCCGCCCACTATGTCACCCCCATGGGCGCCGCCTATGAGACCAAGGACGTGGGCTCCTCCTTGCTTCTCTCCTCGAACTGTCTTTTTTCTAATTGAAACGCCATTGAGGTCCCCTCCACGACTCTTCGAGCTCTTGGTTTCCATTGCTTTGTTTTGTTTCGAAAGAGAGAAGACCGAGGGAGAGAAATGGGTTGGGGAATACATAGCTTCCAAGAGAAGCCTTGAGGATAGCTTCCAAGAGAAGCCTTGAAGATGGCTTCCAGGAGAAGCTTTGAAGAATGGCTTCTTGGAGAAGCCTTTGAGGAAAAAGGAATGGCTTCTAGGAGAAGCCTCAAAGGAAATAAAGGAAGAAATGAGGTTGAAGAGACTAAAGACATCAATTTATTGACAAAGACCCAGCAAGAGGAATGCTGAAAAATGCAAAAAATATCTGATGTAAGTAAGTTCAACAAAGAGTCCCTAAAAATGAAAGGGCGCCGTAGGGAGCAAGAAAACTCCCACTCACTCAAATAAAGAAGAAGCTCATGCTCTTAACCCCCTTTCTCGCAAATAGTCGGAGGCTTGGGGCATGGAGGGCAAATGATGAGTCCAAAATCAACTGGACTAGACCCAATAAATCAAAAGGGCCCAAATCAGCTGAAGGGCGACCCAATCCCTCTTTGCCAGTCCGACCAAGTTCAGGATCCAGGGAGCCCGGAGAGATAGGAGCACGTGAGAGAAACTATCAGGATACGCACTCAAGGAAATCCAATCCTACCTTAATTATACTTCTCAAAAGAGTAGTGTTTTCTCCCTCACGTCACCGCCTCCTCAAACCTATATAATGTAAGTCATCTCCACATGGAGGGGCATCACCTTTGAGACATCTACACACCACATTACATCTCTACACCTCTCTACACACCAAGTCTGTCTCCCTCCTAAAGCATTGTAATTCTCTTGGAGTATACTCTCCCGGTGACTTTTATTCATCAATAAAGATCTCCGGTCACCACTGTCGTTCTCGAGAGTGGAGTGGATCATCCGGACCAAACCGCTATAAATCTGCATGTTTGCTCTTATTTATTATTTTGTCATTGATTATCTTATTTATTGCTCATTAATTACACTCATTCATATATTCGACTATTGATCTTACACAAGACCAATTTGTGCATCAACATATATCATGTTCATCTTATATTAACAAATCATGTCATACTTTGATACACCTACCGCTAATCAAATAATCATTCAAGGCGTAGCTTGCAAGAGTGTTTGGAAAGTTAAAATATGTGCTCAGACTGTCTTTCCCTTCTATTACCAGCTTCACTCATCTGAAATAGCATTGCGCCTCCAAACAGGCACGTAAATTAGTTGTGACACTTGAAATTGATCCCAAATCGCTTCAAATGTGAGGTGAATATATTTTAATGTTTCTGGTTACAAGTTTGTAAATATATTTTACCTTATTGTGGTTTGATTGAGTTGTACCCTGACTCGAAAACATGCAAATAATGCAAATGGATTAAAGTGAACAACTAACTTGTTTTGACTCAGTTATGATGCAGATTAATTAGTTTTCGGGTTTCTTGTCATTTTAGATTTGTCTCAATTTGTAAAATTGAAATCCCTATGTTTTCTGTTCATAAAACAAAATTACAAATATTTATTAGAGGGGTTTTTAAGTTATTTTGTAGTCCATAACCTCCTGAATGGAGATTATCCGCATGGGTCTAATGTGTAAGCGGTTATATGCAACGTAGCTAAACTATAAGGAGGTAAATACAATTTACACAACCTTTTAAGCCATGCGTTTTCGTTGTGTTATTGAAGCATGATGAAATGAAGCTTCAGGATTGAGTATGTACTAGAATAGCATGAGTTTGTAGTTCAAGTTGCTAGTTTGGTGAATGAGAAGAGAACTCTTTCAACTAATATAAAAGGTGATTAGTGGCGGAAGCTAGAATTTCACTTTAGGGTGGACACCAATTGATAAAAACTATTAAAAGTTTGGACATATTTTTAAATACAACATAAGAAATATGTTAATAATCAAAACTAAACTACTAGAAGAAAATATATCTAACATTATTTAGCTTTACTAAGACATGGAATAAAAAAAGGACATAATATTCATGTCATATTCATAATTATTAGTATCATACGATACGTGATACGTCATAATATATAGTAAAAATGATACGAATCAAATCTCTGATATGGTATACAGCTATGACATACTCCTGCTCCAAATGATACCTGCTAAAAGGCCAACTGATGCCATTTTCGAAGATGGTCTGAGCATTCCCAACTTTGCTAAAACGGCTTTGCCTGAAAATATCATGGAGATAGTAGACTCATCGCTGCTGTTGGCAAGAAAGGGAGGAGGAGGAGGCAACTTAGATGAAAACGGAAACGAGGAGATAGAAATCGTAAGAATTGGTGGTGATGATCCCCAAAGCAGTGGTGGTAGTAGAATGGAGGAGTGCCTGGTTTCTGTGATAGAAATTTGGCTTTTGTGTTCTGCTGACTTACCTGGAGATAGGATGCCAATGAGTATTGCCGTGGACAGAATGCACAAACTCAGAAATTCAATTTCTTGAGGGTAAGAGGAAGATCAGCTCAGAGAGAAGAACAAAATACGAAACAACAGCACCAACCTATGATGATTGCATTTCTATTAAATTTGATTATGCGCAATTTTTTTTTTTTGTAGCAAGTAATGTCCAATTAATCTATATAATAAATCAGATGAAAGTTTAAATTTTTGAGCAATGCTATAAGACCCAATTGAAACTTAAAAAGTTACAATCTAAATACATATCATTTCTTAGATAAGTGAATCCTATCAATTTTTTCAGTGAGGCCGATTCATCCCACGTTTATCCAATGATGATATACATTTGGGTTTAATTTTTGATTTTCAGAGTTATATAACATTTTTCTAAATTTTTATCCGATATACATTTTTCCCTCTAAATTGATCACCTCTTACTCACCTCTTACTTATTTCACCGATCATTCCTGAGTCTGATATTGCTGCCCTCTCCATCTATTTTTATTATTTTTTTTCCTTTTTCCTCCTTCATTCTTGACTATCTCTCTCTCTCACCGCCGTCACCGCGCCACAACCTTCCTCGTATCCCTCATATCTTCTTCTTCTCTCTCAGACACACCCGCAGATAATACCCCCGGCCCCTAACTCTCCCTTTCTACGAACACCCCCTTCTTGCCAAACCTCACCCCCGTCCTCTAATACCCCTATACGCAACCCACCCTGTACACAAACATAAATAGAAAACACACGCACCAAACACCCACACTTACGGGTTCTGTCTCTCTCTCTCTTAGCCTACCAGGGCCATCGTCACCAGCAAAGCACCTCCGTCACCGCCATAGCACCACCTTCACAACCACACAGCACCACTATCAAGACCACACAACCATCTCCCATTTATTTCTCTCCATCCCGTCCCCTCTCCTCTATGTCTCTCACTAAAAATTTTTGTTGAAACGCCCAGACCCTAATCATAATGCCGATGAAGTGTTTGTTGAAATGCCTAAGAGACACGCACAAGCAAATCACACCCCCACTCATAGGGCATACACACCATTCTGGCAGACACACATTGTCGTTAGACGGGTCGACCCGATAAACTAGAGCCTAAACCAAGCCGATTCCTCTAATAAATTGTTTGAGCATCAAAATCGAAAGAAACTCACTGGGTGGTTCACTAGCAAATCGTTCAACCCAAATGATTTTGACCAAATCAGCCAGATTAATTAAAATGGTATAAAAGGGGAGTTTTGGCCCTTTTGGTCATTTTGCCCTAAATCGTTCCCATCCTAGATCCCACTGCTTTGCCTCTTGCAACGGCGACTACTCGCTTGAGTCCTCACTCCTCTCTCTTTTCCTCTGTGCGTTGCAACTCAATCGAAGTGGAACTCGAAATCTCGAACATTGGAAGTTGAAGGTTGGATGGACTCATCACTCAAACCTCCACTGACAATTTGCTTCACCCCTATTCTCTGCGATTGTCATTCCCTCAAGTGAGACATAGCAGCACACGACAACAGCCATTTAGAGTAGATTTGATTGACAATTCGATATTTATCATATTGTAATACACTAAATCCTTGCTACTGCTTTAAATTTTTTTCATTGATAATGCTATATTTGATTTTTTATTTTTATAAGTTGAATCTTTGATTTTTGGTACTACAGTCTTATCTTTCTTTTGGACATAAAATTGTCTTGTAGTGTTACTTAAGATTATGTAATTAAAATTATATAAATTTCTATTTCAAAAAAGTTAATTGCAAATTGCATCCTAAAATATCGTTCGAATCTCAATTTGCACCCTCAAAGATACAAATTTGTATCAATGTACATCCCCAAAGATCAAAAATCTTAATTTGCACTTTCAAAAATAAAAATTTGTATCAATGTACACCTAAAACTAACTGTCGTCAAATTGCTGCTTAAAATTAAATTGATTAATTATACCTAGATCCCCTCATGTTTGTCACTTAATCATTTGGATATCTTCACATTTATAATATTACTCTTACATGTTATGACATTTGTTAACATGTAACACGTACCTTTTTTGTTGATATCTGTTAATATAACAGTTAAAAAATATGATTTTATCTAAATAAAAATTTATAATTTCATATTACCATTTATTTTGTGGGTCCGATATACTATAAAGTTCAAAATCAAGTTTTTTGTCTCTCTTTATGTTATCTTTTTCATTCAACTATTTCTCTATTATCTCACTTCTTTCTATTTTCTTTATTTTATCTGTTTTTTCCACAATGTATTGTTGAGAGAAATTGTGTCAATCGTTGCCTTAAAAAATTATCCATAGATGTTATAAATCTAAAGGATTCATGATAGTAATGTTCTTTACGTAACTCATGTTGACAATATTTTGTTAAATTCATCGATAATGACTAAGTGAGTTCATTTTTCTCTCCAAATTAGGATTCTCTCTCTCTCCCCCTCTTATATATAGACATAAAAATGTCATTGTAGGTGTCACAGAGATAACAACATTACGCCGTGTATTATCAAAATTTATCTTATTTTTTTCACTTTTTTATATTCGTTCTTCTTGTAGGATAGTCATTTGAGTAACTGTTACCATCTTGAATAGTAACAAGTGATGTCACTATTTCGGCGTACTAACAGTGGAGTATTGTCACTATCCCAAAACAATATCAGAGGTATTGTCTTATTAAGTAATATGTCTTAGTGTCGTAATGTGCATTTTATATATATATATATAAATTCAAAAAAACACCAAAAATAAAAAAAAAATTTGAATATATTTTAAATTTTGAAATGTGAATTTTATATAGATAGTTTAATTATGAAATATCTATAATGAAGTAGATTTGATGTTATTTGAATTTTAAATTGTGTATTTTATATGGTTCTTATTAAAATTTAAAAAAGAATAATCTTACTTCGGTTTTTGCAAACGTGATTGTCTTTAAAGTGCCAAAAATTTATTGCATGGACTTTTTCCACTAAAAATCCATAACCGTTGACTAGCTTCTAAAAAGCCCTAGAAATTATCCGCATAGGTCTAATGTGTAAGGGGTGCAACGAAGCAAACCCATTACCCTGTTCTTTTTGCCATTTTCGTTGGGTTGAAACTTGATGGAATATGGCTCGAGTGAAGTGCATCTATCATCATTATTTTAGGAATAGGATTCTTGAAAACATAGGTGTGAGCTTCTTCATCATTGTTGGGAGATGAAGTCAGGAGATCTCTTCCTCTTGTGGTCAGGTAAATGAAAGTTTTCCATGACAACTGGATAAACAAGCACCTTGGTGTTGAATAGAGTGTATACTTTCTCCTCAACGAAAGACGGACATCTCGTGGGTCGCCAAATACTTTTGAGACACAATAAATTACTCTTTGCAATTCACCTTTAAGTTACGCTCCGAAAGATCACTCAAATTTAAAAATTTAAAAATATTAATTTATCCCAGAAATATATAAATGCGTATCAATATGCACCTGAGACTAACTGTCATCTATTTTTTCATTATAAAAGTTTGGGTTCTCTTAGGGTCTTGGCTCCTTAGCCTCGGCCTCTGCTTCTCCGCTTGGTTGCTTGGACTCGTCCTGTACTAGGTTGCCTAAAGATCAATGTTGACTGTTATTTTAAAGGCAATCCGGGGCTATTTGCGACATGGGGTGTTATTCGGGACCACCAGGGTTGGATTCTCAGGGCTTTTGGCTTGTTTCTATGGCATCAGCCTATTTTGTATGCGGAGATGCAGACTGTTTGTGCTGGGTTGGAGTTGGTCGCAGATTTGAGAGCTTCAGAGTTGGTAGTAGAGTCAGATTCAGCTACAGTAGTTTCTTGGGTTTATTTTCAGGGTATTGGGTGCGGGGTTTATGCTTACCTGCTTACTCGCATTCGACTTCTGTATGCTTCTCTCTCGGCTCACATCTGCCACGTCCTGCTGGAGGCGAATCAGGCTGCCGACTTCATGGCTAATTGAGTTTGCTCTCAACAATTGAATTAGCGATTTCCTGATTCGTCATCCCCTCTCTCTGGAATTGCTGGCATTCTCGCCTTGGATGCACGACAGACTCCTCACGTCATCAGTGAGTTTTTATTTTAATTTATGTTTTCAATTAGTTCCGTGGGGAGTCCCCACTTTGTTTTCAAAATTTTGATGGTGACTCACCACTTTGCTTTTGCTTTGATCCTTCCACTTTGTACTTTTGGAGATTTGGTTCTTTGTCTTCCTCTATTGTACTTTTTTCTTTTTAGTTATATATACAGGTAGGGGTCCTACCAAACCCCCCACCCACACTGGGTGGCTTTGGGAAAAAAAATGATTCAAAAAGAATTATATCTATTAATGCTCGTTAAATAGCTCTCAATAATATCGTGTCATAACATTTTCGTATTGTGTTCGAGTCAATAAAAAAATATTTTTAACAGAAAATACTTTCATGTCTAGTCAATTGTGTTGTGTTATATATTTTATATGTATGGCAATTCATATAATATTATTTAATATTTTTTAACATTGAAAAATACTTATTTTCTACCTATAATACTCGTTAAATAATTATTTTTTGTCTACAGTTATATTATTCGTATCTAACTTTAATTTAATTGGACAAACAAAAGATTTGTATCTAATTGTAAACAGAAAAACTATTTAACGATCATTAATTGATGGATTTAAATCATCAATATGAAATATTTAAACTTTGAAATTTATAATTAGCCCAAACATTTTTAACGGCAAAATGGACAGGGTTAACCTTAGTGCGCATTGATACAAACTTATATTTTTCAGGGTGTAAATTAATATTTTTAAACTTTGAAAGTATAAATTGAGATTTGAGTAATCTTTTAGAGTGTAAGTTGAAATTAGCCCATATAATTACCTGGACTTATAAATGTTACTTCCAATTTCAAAATAACAATCTTATAAAACAAGCATCCTAGGGTTTGGGACTAACTTAAACTATGATATATGAATACTAATAAAATTACACGGTCATAGAAAGTTAGTTACATTCATCTGCACGTGCAAACCTCATGTTTAAATGAATTGCAT